ATAAAAGAGAAATTATCAGACTCCTCCGAGTTCGCCGAAAGTTGCCTTCTTTATTTTCTAATTATTATTGGCTTTCTAATTAGATTATATTAATGTTATACGGTATAATGTGAAAAATAGAATTACTACTATATAAAATATGCTTATAACTATAGGAAAAAATGTTAGAAAAATTAAGTTAGTGTTCTTTCTCTTAGGAATCTGCGGGATTTATTTTTTATTTCACCTTATTTTCTTGAGTGTTGAAATATTGTTTAATACATTTATTTTTTAGCATAATTCTCTTAATTTTTGTATTTAATAATCTATTTACATTTTAGCAATCAATATTCTAATCAATATTATAATTATTATTTTCATTATAAACAGTCTTTATTAGAAATGTAATTCCAATTAATAAAATTATGTCATATGCAGAAGATCCCGCATGTTTCCTGAATTGATATATATATGTTATCAAAACAATAAACATCTATTCAATTAAATGCATATATATATTAAAAATTCACTGAACAAGGTCCGCTATAGATCTAAAAATTATCTAAAAATTAAATTTTTCATCAAGTTCAGCAACTGTATCGTTTATACTAAATTCTTTTATTTACGTATACACGTATAGGACATATAAAACATTTAACGTCCTATTAGATATTAGAGTAGAAATCTAACGGCGAATCTGAAAATTTCATTCACTCGTGTTCCCAGACGCTTAATCTCGCGATCGCGAAATGCTTCGCGAAAAAATGATGGCTTTCGGTAAAAATCCTCGGAGGCGATATGAGCAACGGGCTGCTCACACGGCGGTTCTCTACGGTTGATTGTACGAAAGCTTTTCTCTTCAGACAGAAATCGGTTGCGGTGTGTCGCGTAGACATTTGTTTTTTTTTCTTTTTTTTTTTCCTTCTTCTCTCCGATGTGGGCGAAACCGACGGACGGAGGTGTTCGTAAGCTCGTGATTAATCGATGTAATTACACGCCCGGCCGATTCGTGTGTCGTGTCCGATTGCGATAATTAATTGGGAGGTCTGATAGGATAACACGCCGCGTCGGAGTGAATCGGCGACACATCGGTAAACGATCGAATTAACGGTTGCGCGAAATTGCAATGACCGAAGAGCCGTGGTACCTAACTCTAACCGATTAAATTATTTTGACACGCGACAGGTCTCGGTAGCATTTGAAATTTTGTGTATTAATGACGCTCGGGGAGGGAAAAAAAGAGTGAAATAAATTGAAACTCGCAGCGTCGAATATTCCGGGACGGCGGATTTGATAGCCAACGATACATGGATTTCCTCAATTGGTTATGGGTATTTCGACGAGATATTTTAATTCTCTTTAATTTTTATTACTACACAGCTATGTTTTTTACGGATGATAAAGTCGATTATTATTTACAGTGACGCTAATTGCCAATAACAACATGAGGGACAAATGAGTGATATCTCCTTTTAGCAACAAGATATAAAATTTGCAATTTTGTTACAGCAATTTTTTTACAATTCTTTTAATATTTCCATTTCATCTATCTTCGATCGAACATTCATAAGTGTGCGATTTTTCATTGAGTGTCAAAGTGAAAATTGTCTCTGTCTTTTTTGCTTTCGCAAGTACCTTTTAAAATTCTGACGCATATGAAAGAACACCCCCGCGATTGCGTCAAAGGTAACGAAAAGCGGTGTACACCGTAACACGCATTTCTGCTAATGATTGTACGAGTGCTGCTGTATGGCCTAAAGGGATCATATACAACGTTATTAATTTTAAGTTGCTCTCGAGTCGCGTCGACGACAAGTCCTAGAGTCGATATCAAATCACCGATTGGAGAAACCAGTGCCGTCAATGTTACTTTTATATCCCAACGATTACGTATCACAATCTCGTGCAAAATTATAAACAAACGAATACAATAAGTGTAAATCATACGTGTTACACCTCTGTGCTTTCTCCTTTTTATATTTTTGTATGTTTTGTATAAAAAACATTGTTAATAATTTACGTATATATCTGTACGTGAATCTGTTCAAGAATTCAGTATTTTTTTTTTTTTTTTATAAAAACACGCTCTTTCAAATTTTGTACAAATGTCAGGCAATAACGCGAACGTTTGCTTTCAGCGATACATTCGTTAACCGTGGATCCATACAAACATCTCGCAAGTTACTATTCGAATATTGAGTAGCTTTAAATACACATACCGATGTGCGACGTGCGGTATTCAATGCACGAGTATGATTCAATGGAATAATTATGACATTCGTGTAGCGTATTTTTCGAGATTCTCTTCCTTGCATGCGAGTATTCAAACGACCGGTCGCTATCGATTGGAAAACAGTGCGCATACCAATAACGTCATACACGTCGTGGCATTGAAACGTTCGAACAACGTGTTATCAGATATTCACGGCACTGGTTGAACCTATAAATCGCAAACGTTACTTTTTTTTACTAGCTACGACACACAGTCTTGTTCTGAAATATTATCTGATAGGTAATTCGAGGAAATTTTATGGCTGCTAAGCGAGCGATAAGAATTTCGTTCATCCTTGCTAAAACTCTCGCGTCTGGTAAGATATCCATCGGAGTATTCACGAGCTTTAAATCACGTCGTGATAACAAGAAAAACCGATAAAAAAAGGCAGAGTAGAATAGAAGTGATTAGCAATAAATTATCCGTAACTGACGCCGGACAATGACTCATGATGATTGTCGAATTCTTGCGAAATTACCTTTTCAAGCAATTTTTGCTAAAAAAAAAAAAAAAAAAAAGAAAGAAGAAAATACCGTGTACTAATATCGCGAATTGTTGTCCTTCGAGAATTGCACGATAACAGGAAGGAAATATCTTTCAGATAATCTCGTCGCTCGTTACTAAAATATTCTACTAATTTGTCGAGAAATAATTCCAAGTAAACAAAACAATTAATGTAATGTAATAAATGTGAAATCGTAATGCAGTTATGCATGTTTTATCAGTCGCGAAATTTCTTAATAACTTTTTAACGTCTTGCTAACTTTTTTTTAGTGCTATTTAGCTCCCTCCGACTAATATCTTACAAAACGCTATTGATAATGTTGTATCTCCATTTTTCCTAAAATTTAAAAAGCCACGGTAACTTTTATTACACTCTTTCCTGAAAATCCTAAAATCACGTAAACTTGAAGAGAGTTTTTTGCTACAGATCAAAAACACTATCTTGCTACTATCTCGCTATATATAAAACCGAGTTGGGATTTTTATCTCTCGCAGTTTCTTTCTCCTGAAATTACCTAATTCTCCGAAAACACGCTTGAAAGTAAGTTTCTACACAATTCTTGATTATCTTTGTTCTATCGGAGACAGAGAGAGAGAGAGAG